GTGCACCCGACGACGACGACGACGTTGAACGTCACGACGCGGCGCGGCGCAGCGACATCGATCCCCGGACCGTAGCCTACCTTCCAGCCCGCCTTCCCTTTTTTTTCCGCCGCGAGGCCTCTACGCAAGCACACGCGACGTAATCGTGTACCAGCGTTCAACAGCAAGCGCGGCCGACACGAGCGGAAGGGCATAAAACTAGTTTTGTACTGTTCTCTTTGTGCACCATGGGGGCGAACCCGGCAGCCTGATCCACCACGAGTTTCCGCGCCGCGTCGACTTGCCGCGGCGCCGACGCCCTCGTCGATTCCCAGGAAATCGAGGGAAATCGGGGGAGATTTATACGGGTGCGTTTTGCCATGTGAGATGCCGCGTACTCAATCGCCGTACTCTATCAATAAGCGAATTCGGAAACCGCACCGGCTCCAGTACCGCGAATACGATCATTTTGAGGTTTGATTGAGAAGTTATATTTTCGTATAAAAATGTAAAGTAAATTTGTGTGCTGTCTTATCCTGGGATTTGTCATTGTACTGGGAATTTGACACAACCTTGGATTGTGTAAAAACTCTGTTATTTACAGTTACGGGTTGACGGTGGGACCATGTCGGAGATATGAAAAATTCACAGAGGAGATCCTACGTTACGATAAATGTCCAGAAATTAAAATTTTGTTTCATTTTCAATGTTAAAAGTTTGAATTATTTGTATTAAAAGATACGTGCATAAATTTTAGAAATCATTAGGTAACTTAAATTTAACTTTTTGCAGGTTTGAGGGCCGGAATTGTGCGGAACCGAGGTCTGGCGGTCTCGGCGCGCATCGCGACCGACATGTGCCGAACGGTAACAATCAGAGCGAAGGAAAAGACAGAATCAGGAAGGACAAGGAACTGCGCGGCACACCACGCGTTCTCATGAGACGACGACGACCATTGTTGCACTGACGAGACCGTGGATCTGGGTCAGCGGTGGGGCCCGCCCGACCCTCCCAGTTTCCCGCGGTTGCAAGCCACAGCCGTCGTTTTTGCGGTTTTGGCGTCGCCTCTTGGAAAGCTGGATATTGTGCGACGCAAGATGGCAAGGGTGACCTAACATGGCCGACAGAGGACAGCGAAGAAGAAACAGCGTAAAACAGTCCGCCACATCGTTTACCCGCAACACGAACGGCTTACAGCGTGAAGCTCGCGTTCTGCTTTTCTGAACGAGCTCGAATCTAGCTTGTATGATGGAAAAGAATACTGAGAGATGCTACTTAGAAAAGGCCTTGATTATTCGAACGCGACAAAGATCGCGAGAGCTATATTTTCAGAGGCAGCAAATCGTTCTATTTGACTCACCATTAATTTACACTAAAGTTCTCCTTTCTCCCTTCCAATTTATTAATTTTATAATTTAAAATTTTTCAAAATAGATACTTAATAAAACGACATTTTTTTCTGTAAACAAATATATAAATAAATAAATATTGTATTTTTGAAATTAATTATTTTTAAGATAAAAATTTTCGATTATTAATTCATCATATAAAGTAAATTGCCGAGCGATTTGCGTTAGACTATACAGAACTACGAAAGAGACAGCAAATCAGGGCAACGAAATCAATGTCGAAATTCGAACGAATCTTCTCTATGTTTTTCCGACTGTTTTTTAATGTACTTAAACATCGGTGGCATTCCGCGCGCCGTCAACGCGGGATAATGACTTTTTTCCAGCTCGCTCCTCTATAGCTGTTCGTTCCTCCGTTCGTCTCGCGCGTATTATTCTCCTCTTTGGAGGAGGCCTCCGGCCAGTTGCCTCATCCGGGAAGGAGGGACTGGTGATTACAGCGAGCCACCGTGATTGCCGAGATCGTTTGACTCACGAAAATGTCATTAGGATTTCATTACTTCCAACCGCCTTGAGGAACGACTGCTCAACGAGTTTATGCAACGTTGTCTCTCGTTTTTCTCCCCCTCCCTCCCCCTCCCTCGTCTATCTTCCCGGAGAGACCTCGCCAATCCTGTCCGTTCTTCTCGTCCATCTATCGCGCGAGATCCAGCACGAAGTAGGTCAGCTGCGCTCGCGGTGCTGTTGGGCAACTGTCACAAAGGATCGACCGGCCTAACGTCATCGGCAATTGACATTTGCGAGGAGATAGAAATTGGTTTTTAGCGATGCACGATTGTGCCAGACCGGGGCTGATTTAGAAAGGTGACGAAAATATCGGGGCGATCGAGCCGCGCTGAAAAGAAGAATCACGGTCCCGTTGTTCGCCGGAGTTCGTTACTTGTCCTGGACGTAATTACTATAGAGACGAGCGCCGGATGTAGGCCATCAGGACGTATCTCAATCCTGATCCGCGTTCTTTCCCATTTCCCTTTTTCAAATCGTGATATCAATATCGCCACTATTATACTACTATCGCATTATAGTCTCGGTAATCGTCTGGGACTCGTTAAGTTTGGACGTAACGGTGATTGTGCGAGTTCATACTTTGTCTCGTTCAAATAAATCTCAGAAAATTATTTTTATTTGTCGTATACTAGTAAATTGTATATTCAACACCAATGTGAGTTCTTAATTAAACAGAAATTATCTGAACGAGAATCGTAACTATCAGATTTTACGAATCCAGTCTGAGAATGAATGTGTATGAGAATAATAGTGGCAATACTAAGAGACCAAAAACCTCAAATTTGATATTAAAAAATTTTACACACAATATATATTATCAATTAGTTACATTATAAAATATCTCAATATGAAACCGTGAGATAAAAATTTCACAAATAAATAAAAAATAAAAAAAAACAAACAGAAAATAGGACGGACTGTAAATTTAAGGCTTTTGGTCTAGAAATAAAATCAATTAATATCTAATTGTAATGGTCAATGGTAACGTCGATTCAATACTTTTTCATAGGAAATTATTGTATCGCGTAACTCGTTTATTTGATTAACCGTAGCGATTAAATTCAATATGCAATTCCACGCTTGACAAACGGCGGACAACAACATTTTCACAATGGAAACAATTGCTCGGGAGGCAATCTCTGCTTATAATTAACCGTAGTAATCAAATTAGATCCGATGCACGCAATCACGACGGTCGTACACGAACAGACATAGATAGAGAGAAGCCGTTTTATTCCCCGGGAAAAAAAGATTCCGCGCGGCTCTTATTTTTGCGACAACGATTACTTGTCAAACACGAAAAGCGTTACAGTCGTGGCAATCACTCAATCATACGCGAAGCGTTACAAGTACCCTCCAACTCGTAAATCGAACTTCAAGATCGTCAATGAACGACGTCGTCTTCAGAGAATTCGCATCACGAACGGTCACGGGTCGATTTTCGGCGATTTCACGTCGTGAAATCGCCGTTACATCATTATTATCAGCCTGCTTTTTTACGTTACTTTTTTTTACTTCACCGTACCGACGATGTCGCTCCTGTCTTCCTCCGACTAACGTCGATCCCAGCTCGAGGAGGAAACATCTCGCGGCACCAAACAACACCACTTTTAATCAGTCAAGAGTCACTCTCGATGCACGGATCGTTCATGACTTCCGATATTCCGCGACGCTGTCGTCGACAATCCACGTTGGCTGGAAAACTCGGGCGTCGGTCCTCTTCGTCGTCGAGAAGCGTCCATCGCCGATCGGCATTCGTGGTTGCATCTCTCTCATCCATTAGTATTATTACTAATATTTTGCTAAGGGGGGGGCGTGTATCACATACACAGACACACACGACGTCGCACTGTTCGTACCGCTCTCACTTCGACGGACGGCCCGCACGGATACCGGCATGCGGGTTTCATTATACGATTAGAAACAATATTAACATTCAATTTTCCTCGCGAGAGGTGCTACACATATTCACATTTTGGGGCGAGACCACGCTGGGATACGTTCGCGGCGCCACGAAGGGGTGGTTCACCTGAACTCAGTTCAAGGGACATCTTCGTTAAACCGCTGGCCATACTCTGTAAAAGGCACAAATGATCGTCCGATTAAAAAAAAACGTTGCGATGCATGACAAGAGATTTTGCGAAATTTCAGAAAATTAAGCCATCTATCTCAATATCGAGCTACTTTTTTTCATCAAATCAATATCGTATAAAAATAAACAATTTAACTGCCAAAAAATATTAAATATTAAATTTAACATTTCCATAATTATTCGTAATTTCGAATCAAGTTCAATACCAAAGTACGTTGCATCTTTCAGCATAAATCTGTAAATATACATCTATCTGTGCTGCACAAATGTATTTTTCACGCTCGGCACGTATACACGCGCCGGTCCTCGCGGTTATTATATTATTAAAGAGATATGCGGTAACTTTGAAGCTTCCGGAATCACCGCGATGAATATTACGGCAAGGCAAGTGAGGTAAATTTGTCTTGTCATGCTGGTTCTCAGTGAATAGAAGAAACGTCCAACATGTCCCAAGGGGACACGTGACTGGCAGTACCAGTTTGTGTTGAGGCGCGTTGATTGACGCGTCGCACTTTAATTTCAAATTGAAAATGTCTATGATTGAGTATCGAAGTACCATTCAATTATGCTCACACAGAAATCGCCGGTGTGAGTTATAGCCGGAATGACAAAGCTACTATCGAATGCAGACATTTAAAGAATGCTGTTCTCTCGTTGTACGTGAAACACGATAGATGTTCCATATCTTAGAACGCGATTCATTTCCCATACAATTATTTTTTATTTTCTGAATAGCGTTGAATCGTTGTAAAGATTGAAATACATGTATAGATGTATTATATATAATTTATACAATTATTTTAAACTTTATGAGCAACGTTTTTCTGTTTAACGTCAATTTTAATCTCAAATCACAAATTTAACGTATTCAACATTTTCAACATACAATGGTACGAGTACCGTATAAAGAGCTACGGACTACTTTAGATGCATCAATTTCGCAATAACTTCTATAGCTTTCCGAATGCAATGCATCAAAGCCTCGATGTCGATCCGATTCGGAGAGGCAGCACTTACGTGAGTAGTCCGGGGTTGGGGTCCGCCTGGTACCAGGAGTACTGCGGCATGTAACCCGCGTGATGCGGCGGCGGTGGCGGTGGCGGTGGATGATGCCCGGCCGTGTGCGGGTGATGATGGGAGTGGGGCGGCGCGTGTGGATGCGGATGGTGCTTCATCTCGCCCGGCCAGGAGGGTGCCGGCGGGCTCTCGTTGTGCTGAGGCGACATCTCGCTTCCGGGGCTCGAGCTCCCGGGGGTGTGACCGCCGCCCCCGCCGCCCATGCCGCCGAGGTAACCCGTCGTCGGGCTGCCCGACACGGAACTTCCGCCCCCTGAAACACAAACGCGAACCGGGAACCGTTTCAGAACCTCGCCTCTGAATCTCGCGACCGCTGCTGCCGCCGCACGCCGCGCCGTCGCGTCGTGTCGCGTCGCGTCGTCGGTCGTCGTATTCAGCCGTGTCGCCTTGCTGCACATGCAGCTGCATGCGCCTGAATGGGACCGGCGTCGCAAATTGTATTAATCGCGCGAGGGAGCGGTATTGTGCGCTAATGCATCTGGTGGCTGCTACGAGACGGGAAAGAGTTCCCAGACGCGGTGGTCGCGCCTTCGATTCCGCGGGTTCTAAGTCGAGCTGGGGTCTGCCTGAGTGTGTATATATAGTTCATCCCTGACTATACGTCATGTTTTCGTGATATTCCGCCATTTAGAAGCGCTCCGATTTTTATCTCTTCCGAAACTTTGTGTTACCTTGATGCTATTCTTAAGTACAGGACTGTTATTTCGTGCTCATTAGTGTAAGTAATGAGATGTATTATAAAGTATATACATATATTTATATTCACTTATGCTTATTAATTTTTGTAACATTCAATTTATGAAAATAATTAGCGATTGTAACATTCAATTTATGAAAAGCAGTTTAATATGTTAACGCAATAAAAGTATGCCAAGAATTAAACGGCAACACAGTTATTCACATACAAAGATAATATTTATATCATATATATCGAAATCACTAAGTACGCGAGGCATAATTGATGTGCACTAAAAAGTACACGGACGCTCGCACTAAATTTCGCCATGAAAAAGTGGCACTCCTAGCAAGAGAAATCTCTCAAGATGGGGTTAATTGCGCTGGCAGTGTCTTTCGTGTGGCGCATTTCCGAATAAATCACTCACTAGGCAGATTCGAGATTACCGTTAGTCGCAGAAAAGGAGCAGTGGTGAGGCAAGCGGTTTCGTCGTTGTCGGCGATACGGGCAGTGGCAAAGGCGCGATAAAAAACGCAAACCGCGAAAATTGCGTCGGATTATTAGTATTGTAATTACGGGGCAAAGCGCGGCGCGTCCGCGGAGATTGCGGCGATGAGATGCGGTAAAGTGATGGAGCCGGACCGCCGTCAAGCGCGCAATCATCGGGCACGTTCACCTGCAGTGACATTCAATTAACGCCCGTGGACGCGTTCCCTGGATTAAAAATGCGCGATTGATCGTGTTCGAAAGCGAAAATAGATCGAAGCGGTTGATCGTGAGAACGATTCAATCGATCGCCGATAAATTGATCGAACGTGCGCTCTTTCAAGATACCAATTAGATACGCGAGATGGAAGAGATTTTTCTCTCATAAATATATATTTTTTTTTATTAATTCATACGGTGCATATATTATTTATGCAATTTAACACGACTTACCTCCTTGCATGAGACTTCCGGGTTGACCGGGTTGAGGGGATGGTCCTCCGGGTAGAGCTGTCCCACCCGCCAGAAGACTGCCATGCTGGCCACCACCGCCACCCCCGCTCTGTTGCGCCGCCTTCATCATCTTCTTGTATTTACTCCTCCTGTTTTGGAACCAGATTTTCACCTGCAAGAAAAATCGTGACGGTCATGTTAGAGATGAATTTTTGTTCACGAACGAAAAGTAGGAATTTTTTTTACACATTCCACACTTTTGTCCAACGGACATGACGTGTTTCACAATTTCAATGATAACAAATAAGAATAATCTTATCAATATTAATTGAGCCGTCGTCCTTCATTTTGTTATAATAGTGAAGGTAACTTCCGTCAACTTTCCGAAGGTATTAGATAAGCGAGGAAGATAAAAGAGGGAACTTCGTGGCGACACAAAAAAAGTATTGCAACAGAACATTATATGTGCTTATTATATATCATGCTGAATACTTATTAAATGTTTATTAGTATTCACATCATATTTATTCCATGAGTATTACTTGTCATACAGGATTACTTGTCATATTATTTTTTTTTTAAAGCCGTCGGCGTTTATGCATTTTATATAACGATAACGAATTTCTTAAGTCGGATTAGAAGGTTTGAATATTCATACGTTACAAAGTGTTAATAAGTTATATTTTTAAATCATCTGACTTATAATGTAGTTACATGCAGTAAATTGCAATATTTTCAAATACATCGACACTCATATATTAAATATACACTCATCGCTATATCATAAATGCTAATAATTGTTATTATGTTTATCATTAGCATGTCTATTTACGCACAGTTTCCTCGAGCCATTAGATCGAGCCATAAAATTATCCACGAAATAGGACCGCAAGCGACTTCGTTCGAGACGCATCGTTCGATTATCGACGCGCGATTGGAAATATATTTTGCAACCGCGATGCGCAAAAGCGTTGCCTGAGTCTAATCCGATGCTTCGCATCATCGCTCCGTGCTGCCGGGTTAGACTCGCCGGCGAAGACGAAGGAAAAAGAAAAGAAAAAGAAACGCGCGCCGTTTCGTAATCGTCGTTTCTTTTGCCTCCTCGCTGCACGATGCATAGAACCGCAGCGCGGCAAGAGCAGCTTCGTCGTCCTGCGGCGCGTATACCGGTGCGCACGCGCGACCGCTAGGATTGCACATGCGGTATTTTTTTGTCTCAGCATCCGCACACATGCACCGCATGCACGTGACGTGCTGGCTCAATCTTACGTAACTCTTGCCGCGCGGAGCTAAGCGTGTACAGGAATACGCGAGGTGTACCCGCGTGTGCGCGGCTGCGCCGAACCGAAGCCATATGTTTGAACGTGTCGCCGAAATTGGTTCGCGAAGGAAATTCTACCGTTAAAAAAAATTTCTTTTCATTCGCGCCCTTTTGCGTGACATCTCACTATATATTTTATTGTAATAATTTTGTTGTATCGAAAAAAATCTATCTTATTTAATAAATCTGTTTTATGTAATAAAAATTCTACGTTCGATTTCACTTAATTATTTCTAAATTTTTTCTTTTAGATATCATTCACGTTGATAGATCGTTCAATCTCTGCGAGAATAAAGTTTTTCATATCAATGTAAAATCGATTATTACTTTTAGACACTTTCCACACGCGTAACCTTACACTGTCCCTGGCACGATTCCGTTATTCCACCGTACGATTTAAAAGTACATATTCGGCTACGCCGAATAGCTTGGACGAAAACAGAGACGTGCTCTTTTATTAATAGTACACCACGCCTAATGACTTTTTAACGAGCCTATCCGCTGTATAACCATCCGGGCTTACCCGATCAAACTCGATACTCCACCGCCACGTCGATCAAACGCTGCGGTCATAAAACGCGAGATGAATACAGTGAATACGTGCCTCTATTCACCAGGCACGAAGAATGATTTTTTTTTCTTCACAATTAAAGATTACTCTCCTTTCATGGCGATCTTAGTCCCGTCGAACAATGCACTCGCATGCGGTAGGAGTGTAAATTATAAAATAAATTATACCGTTATATATGTACATATATACGGCTGTCTATTAATTATCCAGGCGGACAATGAAGAAATTCTTCATCGCGGAAACCCGCGCGAGCAAAAATGCAACAATTGAACGTTTTTTATCTTCTGTTTGATTAGCATAACATTTATCGAATCAATCTGGTGAGCGCATTGATGGTATCGTTAATAATCAAATAAATTTTCCTCACAAAACGTGTTAAAACAGTATGCAAACGTGACTTTTTGCAATTAGATGAACCCGTTCTTTATTTTTAACGAACTTGTTTCTGCATGATGTTGCTACTTTTTCATGATATATTTCAACCGTCTGACTTCCTATCTTCTAGCGTCTCCTCCTCCCCGGCTGAATAAACTGACTTAGCTAATTAAAGTAACTGTCCAGCTTTTGATTGACGTCCAAAGTGCAAAAAAGTTGATGACATGAACGTATGCGCATGCTGTTTCATAGATATTATTGCGCAGCGAAGGAATCACAGACTGACGTGGCGAGCGATGTGGGTCTCGACTAAACAATCGTTTTCAGTTTATGATTATTCGATAAGACTGTCAAATAAGATTAAAAGGGGAAGAAAAAAAATTAGTTTGAACGTTTCGATGAATTGCATAATCGTATATTACAACAAATAAAAGTCTATGAAATACGAAAAGATATTTTTACAATTACAAGGAATCGCAAATATCCCAAACAAAAAAAATAAAAGAAATTTGGAACGAGTGATCAATATATATATAGGTATATGTTAATCAGTTCGTCATGGAGAAATTTCACTTTTCGCATATTATTACCTAAAACGCGAAATAATAGGTCCAGGTTGAATTGAAAAACGGGGTCTAATCGGCAGGTACGGCACGCTTTTGCATTATACATCAGCATGAAGAAACCAGAAATAAAGCATAGTTCCAGTTTTGCGGAACACGCATCGTCACACTCCGCCGTGGCCTCATCATTAAAGGCACGGCACGAGCTACCGAAAGAAATGTCTTGACTGACACAGACAAACGCATTATGTATCTACAGGATATACAGATTATCCCCCAGTATCCTCCTACTTAATTATCATGACAGATTCTTGGATTTGGGATACTAATATCGTCCCGAGTAAAATGCTCAACCGTATTTTGATAGATTGGTGAAATTGTGGAACTGAAGAAATAACTATATCAAGGATGATTAAGGCGGATGATCAATATAATATACTGCGCCCGATATTTGCCAATATTTAAAAAAAAATCGGTTTTTTTAATTTTTCCAAGCACCTGTTGTTGTGCGAGATCCCGAGACACTCTATGCATACGCGTTATACTCATCGCGAAAAAATATGCCGCGGCAACATCAGCAGCCCCTGCAGTCGGCGAGCGTGCGCCCGGCGTGCCGGCGCAAATAAATCTCTTTCTAATTGCTCGCTGAAAAACCCGGTTGCGTTGAGCAGAGATGGCGCCCGACAAAGGCCAGCAGCGCTAAAACCCGGTTTCGACGTACTTTATTTCGCTCAACTGGCCGGCCGGCCTGGCCAGCCGGGGAAGAGCGGATCGCCGCGTTCGTCGGCGTGCGGCGGTTTGTTGTTTATTGATATTTACAGCCGCCGTTGACAGGGCACGACGCGCATCGACGGTAAGGGATGCGCCTTTTCGTTCGCGAGGATAATGTTGGCGGGGTTTGCCCTTTTTTTCGAGCCGTCGGCGGCTTCTCTCTCTCTCTCTCTTTCTCGCGGGAACGGCACGCGGGATATATTTACGCGTGGCGGCGCGCTCGGCGCAAAGCTTTAATTAATATCTTTTTTCCAGGTGTCGTCAGAGCACGTTAGACACTCGTACGAATGCTTCTTTTGCCCCCTCATTTGAAGAACAGGACCGTGGATAATGATTGTATTTTATTTGTGGTACCTAAAGATAGATATAGGACGTATATTCGTTTCTTCGTTAATTTTTAATAAAATGTATTTTGACAAAATTATAAAAACTCTATCGTCTTCTTTCAAATAGATATTTAATTTTTATGTAACATTTGTTGCTATATTAATATATTGTACATAGCTCTCTCATACTTCAATTCGGTTGATAGAGAAAGTTTTGAAACGCGTGTGAAAATGTAAAGTTTTACGGTGCGAAATGCGGTTCGAGATAATATAATGATTGTTCCTTCGCGGTAGATACGACGACAAGCTCGGTCGTCAGTGATTTATTACTCCCTGTACTACTCATTACTCCGTTACTAACATTCTTTCCATCAAATCTTTCCCACAATTTGCGTACTACTTGAAAGAGAAAAATGTCTTCTTTGAGAAACTTAAGCTCGCATATCGACAAGATTTTGTTCTAAATACAACGTTCCCAGAGAAATTAAATATACGATCGAAAAACTAAATCTTTAATATTAATTAAAATTAAAGATTTTTTTTGTCATACACATATATTATATGTATAATATATGTACAAAATATTTTGGTATATTAATGTTATTTTAAATAGTTTCACAATTTATTGACGAATTATAATACTTATAAGTTAATCTTCACTTAATTTTATAAACTTTGTTCCGTAAAAATTTCGAAATTTCATGCAGGCCACGTATGAAGAAACCGGGTGTTAAGAGTAACTGGAGAAATAAATCAAATTACACTCCAAGAGTGAATCATAGAGCCGTCGACTAGCCGCGAGGTAGCAATCAAAATCGCTTTATACTCCAGCAGCGTTACAACAAGCGACGCAGGCATGAGGCGTCGAGCCGGGAATCTTCGCGCGCGGCTTGGCGTCGCGCGAGTTAAAGGAAGAATACCGAACGAGCCGAGTCGAGCCGTGCCGAGGGATACGAATGCACCCTGACGCCGACGGGCACCGGCAGGCACGGTGGCAAGCTGTCGTTATCTCTCGGTTGGACTTAGACGCGCGTGTTACGTGGTTCTCCGCGCGTCGAATGGCCGTCGGGCGGCCGCGCGCGAGCGAGCGAGCGAGCGAGCGAGCGAGCAAAAATTGCGCCGGAGCAGCCGGTGGTCGCCTCGCCGCGCCTCGTCTCGTCCCGTCTCGTCTCGCCTCGCGAGGGCAAAAAGAGGAAGCGAGGACGCCGTTGCTGCCGGACCCGATGATGTTGCCGCCGCGGCCAG